TTGATTTTAGACGAAAATGTTAAATGTAAAAGTTATAGAGATTAAAAAAATAAGCAACTTTTGTATCTGCACTATTTTCACATAACCTCCAATTTTCCTAGAAAAACCGGAAAAACTGTTTTTTTCGTTTTTTATTCATATTTTTGCGAAAAAATGTCGTAGGGATTTGAAATTTGGAGGTAACATAACCTGTTTAATGATAAAACAGAAGATAATTGTTTGGGCCCATATAGTTGAACCGTTTCCAAGATCTCACGATTTCTGTAAAGAAACCACCTCTTTTTCAAGGGGATGAAAAATCTATTTTTTTTCATCGTACAGAGGTGCGCGGGGTAGCAAAATTTTCGGGAAGACTTACATTTTAATAATCAAAAATAAAAAACATTATTCCAATAGAAAAATTTCAAGAAAAGCGGCAAAAACGGGGGGAACAGTTTTAAGATACACCGTTTTTTACAGTAGGTAAATAGGCTTTTTTGCAAATAAATTAACGTGTTGGATCCGCGCTAATAAAAAGTTTTGGAAATCTGTCTTCTCTCTCCTCTTTAATGTTGCTAAAATATTTTCATTTGTTTCCCAGTGCCCAACTGCCTTAATTAAAACATCTAATTACCCGACATCCGCAGTTCAACCGCATAAAGCGAGAAAAATCTAAAAAAAATAATACACCCCTGTGGGTTCGGGGATAGAATAGGCCTACTCTCGCCCTGGAGATCGTAAAAGGCGATCAATGGGCACTAAAGGTGACAAGGCCAACCATCTTTAGTACTTACTCACCAATTGATTTTTTTAAATGGAACACCCTATATATTTTTAGTTGTTTCGATGTCATTTTTTAACCTTTGCATAGAAACCTATTCATTTTTTTGTTTTTTTTTGTCAAATTATTAATTTTTTCCGAATAATTGTCCATAAGCAAGCCTCACTTTGATAAATCGTAGCGGCCTTGATTTTAAAGTTAAGAAATACAATTGATCAATAATGTTAATCTGAATAAAAGGCAACACTTTGGTAATGAGAAAGTTGGATTTAGTTCTACAGGGTGTTCACAAAAAATAGTAACATTCACTTCAAAGGTTCAAAACTATTTTTTATATACGATAGTCTTTTGTGTGCTCTGCAATTTTTATATGGAGTCTCATGTGTTTAAACCTCGTAGTTTTTAAGTTATTCAATATTTTTCACACACATAGTTACACATTAATCATAAACCGATGTAGTCCGTGATAATACAAAATAAAAGTATGCCAGAAAGTGTCACAAATAAATTATCTGCTGCAAATAGACTTCCTATTTCGTAGTAAAATAAGATTAATTAAAAAGGCGAATTTCGAAAAAGATGAACTAGTATTTTTAAATAATCTCATTTTACTACGAAATAATTAAGGAGTACACTTGTAGCAAATCATAGATTTATGGCACTTGTTTACTGTCTGCCATTGTTTGGTTTTTATTATCACGGCCTACCTACTCCTATTTATAAACATGTAATTAATGTGTAAGTATAACGGGCGATCAAAAATGAGTTGCTGTCGAGTAGCCTTTGGAAGTTTAAGTACGATTTCCCATGGGAAAGGGAAAGAAAAAGAATTGACAGTAGCATTCTAAATATCGACAAAAACGTACTTTTTTGTAATGGAAGACGTTGTAACATTTCATTATACCTACTTATAAATGACATTTTGTCTTAAAAATACCATGTGCAAAGCTGAAAATTATACAAATAAGAAAAAAAAGGACTTGACAATTCCTTGAAGACCTTATTTATTTTAAAACAACTAACGAATTCATATAATCCTGAATCAAAGCCACCTTGATAGGTTTGTTATTTTTGACTTTAGAACAATATGACATTGGCAACTGTTGTTGACAATGTAATTCTATCCATTAGAAAAATGTGCTTTTTTGCGATATTTTGGGAATGCGACTGTCAATTGCTTTTTTTTTGTTTTCACCATTGTAATCAGCGCAAAAAAAAACACCCTAGTTCTGTAATTTAACCAACGTTGCATCTGTGTTTATAAAACATAATTTCCAACAAAAGTGTAGATACGGAACAACGTAAACAACAATTTTTCTCTTTTCCGTCATTTTAAATCGCAATATAACTAAAAGATAGAAAGCGAGATCTACTACTACAGCTCTAGAAGAATCCAAACCGCCGACTTCGGGCGTGGGGCAAAAAAATAGACGCGTCAAACGTATCCATTAAGTCCAAGGGGAACGGGAACAGTAAAAAACAGGATTTTATGTTTTACAATCGAACAGAGAATTTTATAACATTGTAAATTAATGGTAAGATTTGAGTTTTGTATAGTACAAAAACCATTCGTTTAAATATAGGGATTTTCCATTGAACAATCTATTGGTGAAAAGCAAAAGGGGTTTCTTTTTAAAGAAAAATTAAATTTATGCAATGAGTACTCTAATAAGCCCTATTGACTAGACTAGACCAAGTTTCGACTTGGCCATCATGGCAAACTTTTCTTCGTTAGAAAACATAGAAAAATTCGAAGCTAATATGCGGAAAAACGAACGTTACTGTCAGTTGAAATGCGCCATTACCACATTCATTTGTTTTCCAAAGCATATACTTTTTTCTTGGTGATATTGGGATTGACCTCTGTAAATATCGGGTGGTTAAAAACGAGTTGCTGTCAAGTCGCCTTTGGAAGTTCCAGTTAACTACGATTTCCAATCTAACAAAAATTGCAAAGGTAACTCGACAGTAACTCATTGTTGATCGTATAGTATTTGCCCCGGCTGGCCTCTTGTAAATTCCTTCATGATGGAAACTGGTCCTTGAGAAAATTCGCTTTCTGAGCATAATTCAATGGAGGGTCTTTCTTGTATATTCGCATATTGATATACGTCGGTGTGTTGAAAGATAATATTAGAATTAGGTACATTAGCAGTTATTCCAAAGGTGAGCTTATCTGAGAACAGAACTTTCCCTAAGGCGAATAATATTCTATGTTCTGGGAGGGGGGTAACTTTGGGTCTGGGGACTGGTTTTCTTGAGGGAATGTATTGTGAGGGTGAACTTTCGTCAGGGAACTTTCTGGAAGGTTTAGATGAGTTATTGTAACGTATTGCACCGTAGTTGCTTCAAGCAAACAGGCCCTTATTCAGGGTGGAGATTTTGTCTGGAACACTGAATATACCTACACCTTCAAAGCTGCAATTTTAGCATAGAAGTATTTTTATGGCGTATGCAATTATAAAAATTTTGCTACGAATCTACGTACTTTGTGGTTAGTGGCCTACTTCTGCATTTTCTCAAATGGTATTTACTACCAAGTTTTCGTTACATATTGAATACATAGAGAGTACAGTTTTTGGATTTTCGAACAATAGGAGAAGAAATTAGACAAGTGTACCCTCGAGTGTACCTATTGTCTCTTAACATATACAAAATTTTTCTATACGAAAGTTGTTTAGCATTTTATTTCCCATAATAAGGCAGCATTCCATTGTTTTTATATCAGAAAACAAATGAATAGCCAAAAACAATTGAATTTTTTTAAATAACAATGCACACTTTCATTAGGCTCATTTGATACAGATTTTTTTGCAATGACGTACCACGTTTAGCACACGTGTAGAAAAAATTCATTTTTATTTCAAGCTTTTTGTGATAGATTATGGCAATGCCTTTATTGAATGGTGAACATTTTGAACATTAATTGCGATGAAAACCATTTTACTGCTAATTTCGTTTTGTCTTCAAGGTTCAATAAGAAACCTACACGTTCATTTGTTTTATTTTGATGTAGGATATCTGGATTAATGTTATTGATCTAATTATAATAAATTTTTTTGAAAAATTTCTTGAATAAGGGTATTAACATGTTAAATCATCGAAAAGAGAAAAAGATTTCAATCACAAATGTACAAAATGTGCTCCATATTTCGTAGTAAAATAAGATTAATTAAAAAGGCGAATTTCGAAAAGATGAACTAGTCTTTTTAAATAATCTTATTTTACTCCGAAATAAGGAGTACACTTGCAGCAAATCATACATTTATGGCACTTGTTTACTGTCTGACATTGTTTGGTTGTTTATTATCACGGATCACGGCCTACCTACTCCTCTTTATAAACATGTAACTAACGGGCTATCCCCCCCGTTGCTGTCGAGTAGCCTTTGGAAGTTTAAGTTAAGTATGATTTCGAATGTAAACAAAAATTCCAAAGGTAACTTTTACAGCTTCCTACGATTTTGTTCCACCCATTGAAATGGGCAATCAGACGGCCGGGTCGAAATGCAGGATCGCCATGTGGTGCGCTTTGGATTTCATAAAACTACTCGAGCTTCTCACTCAAATACTTAAGATTTATTTACACTAATTACTCACAATTAATTTATTGTTAAACAAAAGAATTCAAGGCGATGTGCTTTTGTCTTATATTACGGCCGTCAAAGTAGGTAGGTAACACAATTACTTACCTTGATGTTATCTTATAGACATTATTCCATTGGTAATCTTGTAATCGATATAGCAGACTGATTTGGTTTTGGTTTGACGCAAGCAATGTTCATTCATTTGTGGTAAAATCACGCAGTTTGCACTTGCATAAAATTGCAATAAAATCATTCAAACTCGGATTGTTTTAAAATGTTTATTGCGTGTTTCGATCAAAGATAAACTAACAACAAATAATTAGCCACATTAAGATTTTCGGCTCGTGCTCGACCACTCATTTTCATTATACTCGCACGAACAAAAATTATAAGCGAAAATCGATGTTCCGCGCGCGTATACAATTCGAAAGAATTTCTCCACCCTTACCATATATACGAATTGCAGAATTTTATGATTGAAATTTAACGAATCGAATAATGATGACCAGTCGGAAAATTTTCTACGGTAATGGAATTCGTTTGCTCGAGATTACGAATTCCGGGGGCGGTATTTTGACCGATGGATGGCAGTTATGCACATCAGAGAAAAACGCATCGGATATAATCAGAAATTTTTATTTTTTTGATGATGACTACAAGGCACACACACACAAACATAAATATTTACAATAAATACAGGCGTTCATCAGCGATTAGGATTCATACAATCTACAAATTGGACTCTATGAATAAATTTTCGATCGCACTATATCGAAATGTGTTTGTGAAAACTGAAATTCACTCGTAACGTAAAGGTAGTTGTGACATTGATTGTCCGAGAGCGTATACTAGCAAAAATCTGAATTAGTATACAATAACACTATTGAAAAATGTGCTAAACGTCGCTAGTCTACAGGTATGCGTAGGTACCTCACCCTAATCTAAGAGATCCTTCTAACAGTATTGGATTATAAAAATTAGTTTTTTGTGCAACATTAACTCATTCCCACTTTTTATCATTAATCCAAGTTCGCACAGACGAAAAAGTTACTTGTATCTACATATTTACGACACATGCGTTATATACAAGCCTTCACGTTCTACATGTGTTTACAAAACATCGAAAAATCAGTCTTAAAATAAATACAAAGAAACAAAAAATCTTATGTACAGGCGTATACATGATATAAATACGATATTCTAGCGCTAAACATTTATATAATAAAGTACAAACGCTCGAATTTTTGATACTAATAAGGGTATGTACATTCGGAGTTTTCTCTCTTAAGGAAGATTTATGTGGCGGTACTTGTGAATAGAACCGAATTTTTGTAATAATTTGAACGTTCCTGCAGTGGAGATTTGACGTCCCGTTCCACCTGCTGGTGCCTCGATTTTCTCTCCATTTCCAGTTCTTGCGCTAAGGATTCTGTAACAAAAATTGTGTGTTACTCTAATGGAACTGCACGGAGAGAGGTTTCTTGATAGTGATATGAACTAAGTAATACGAAGTCGTGTCCTATTAGATTTCTACGCCCCCCTCCCCACGCTTTCCCAAAACGCGGCTATTATTTCGGAATAGCGCTCAAGATACAATCGTCCCCCCCCCCCCCCTTTTTAAAATAAAACACTAGAGATTGACATAGCGCGACTCTCGCACTTTTCTAGAACTCGGTAGCTCGGTCTCATAATCTCGTCCAATGAATATATTCGTTTCTGTTGCCTTGGCCCTCCAATTATTCGCCATCCGGATTTCGCCTCCACAGTCGGAAAATTAGCACGCAATTCTGGTTGTGGGAATTTTCGTCCCCAAGAAAACTGGTCCAGAACCAGATGGAACATGCGCCTCTCCCTACGACTTATTCAAGAAAGTGTTCTAGGGCTCAAAAAGGAACTTTCGTCTGTTTGCCTGTCAGTCCGGACCTGTTAACATGATAATTTGAGAAATGGAGGCAGTTTCTTGCTTCTCTCTCAATCGGTAGTACTGTCTCATAAGTAAGTTGCACTATTTTTAGCACTAGAACCGCGGAGCTTTTCACATACCTAGCACGCGCGGTCAATTTGATCGCTATGTACTATACAGGGTGTCCATTATAAATGGATCTTAGTATATATGTATGAATACAAAATTGTTCTATATGAAAGTTGTTTAACATTTTATTTCCCATAATAAGGTAGCACTTAATTGATTTATTTCAGAAAACAAGTGAGTAACGAAAAACATTTTTTTTAATGGCAGTGCATCTTTCATTAGGCTCATTTGATTGAAATTTTTTTTCTCTTTTCGATGATATAACATGTTAATACCCTTATTCAAGAAAATTTTTCAAAAAAATTTATTATAATTAGATCAATAACATTAATCCAGATATCCTACATCAAAATAAAACAAATGAACGTGTAGGTTTCTTATTGAACCTTGAAGACAAAACGAAATTAGCAGTAAAATGGTTTTCATCGCAATAAATGTTCAAAATGTTCACCATTAAATAAAGGCAGTTGCATAATCTATCACAAAAAGCTTGAAATAAAAATTAATTTTTTCTACACGTGTGCTAAACGTGGTACGTCATTGCAAAAAAATCTGTATCAAATGAGCCTAATGAAAGTGTGTATTGTATTTAAAAAATTCAATTGTTTTTCGCTACTCATTTGTTTCTGATATAAAAACAATGGAATGCTGCTTTATTATGGGAAATAAAGTGCTACACAACTTTCATATGGAAACATTTTGTATACGTTAGGGGCAATAGGTACACTTGTCTAATTTCTTCTCCTATCCAAATCCAAACAAGTTGTAAATCAGCATATGCATGATTAAAGCGCATTTTTGGTAATGCAGGTCAGGATTTTATTAGCGAAGTTTAAAATTATCGATCTCACGAGTAATTTTGGCTGCGTTAAATAACTAATTTTATTTAATTTCAATTGACGGTACGTCTTCATTTTGTAAAACAAATCACAAAGTAAATAATAAGTTTTTATACTGGTAGCGCTATCTAACGGTTAAATTATAGCACCTCCGAAACCCATATCGAAACTATTTTCTTCAATTATCGATCTCACAAGTAATCTAACTCAAAATAGACTAGTGCCTGCACATCTACACTATAGCAGAAAGCTTTTAGTGAAAATTTGAAGTCTCTAGCTATTGTAGTTGTGGAGATCTAACGCGGACAGCCGGCCTGCCAGCAATAACGAATATAATAGCGTATTTTTTTCAAAAATGCGCTAAAAACTGTACTCTCTATGTATTCAATATGTAACGAAAACTTGGTAGTAAATACCATTTTAAAAAATGTAGAAGTACGCCACTAACCACAAAGTACGTAGCAAATTTTTTATAATTGCATACGCCATAAAAAAACTTCTATCCTAAAATTGCAACTACGGTGCAATACGTTACAATAACTCATCTAAACCTTCCAGAAAGTTCCCTGACGAAAGTTCACCCTCACAATACAGTCCCTCAAGAAAACCAGTCCCCAGACCCAAAGTTACCCTCCTCCCCGAATATAGAATATTATTCGCCTTATAGGAAAAGTCCTGTTCTCAGATAAGCTCACCTTTGGAATAACTGCTAATGTACCTAATTCTAATATTATCTTTCAACACACCGACGTATATCAATATGCGAATATACAAGAAAGACCCTCCATTGAATTCTGTTCGGAAAGCGAATTTTAACAAGGACGAGTTTCCATCAATGAAAGCATTTACAGGGGGGCGGGGGCAAATACTACGCGATCAAAAATGAGTTACTGTCGAGTGAGTTACCTTTGGAATTTTTGTTTACATGGGAAATCCTAGTTCCAAAGGCGACTCGACAGCAACTCATTTTTGATCGCTCGATATTACAGGGGTCAAGTGTAACATCCCAATATCACCAAGAAAAAAGTATGCTTTGGAAAACAAATGAATGTGGTAATGGCGCATTTCAACTGACAGTAACGTTCGTTTTTCCACATATTAGTTTGCTGTTTAATTTATTTGTATAATAATTAGTGTTTTTGTCTTGTTCTGGGCCCTCAATAGGCTTTCGCCCAATTACAGAGTAACCCGTATAATGCTTTTTAGAGGTGCCTCTGCAGAAGGTCTTAAGTTGTTCTATACTATTCCGGTATTTACCTTGCGAATTAGGAAAACTGCAGGAAAACCTAATTCGGAGTAGCCGACAAAATGCTCGAAACTGATCTAAGGAAATTCCCATCTTTACCACAGATGAAAAATTCACCTCAGCCCTTAAGCTCTTAAGATAAAGATCTTGTAGCAACCGGGCGGACGGATAAACGGACGGACACACGGACGGTTGGAGGGACGGACGGACAGACGGATGGACAAAGTAACCACAATAGCTCACTCAGATTTACCACTCATTTTGTCATACTGAACTACACGAGGCTTTTGAGAAAATCAACTACGACTTGGAAGTTACCCGTGATTTTTGCCAAAAACATGCTTTGCAGCTTAATCCCACTAAGTGTAATGCCATGTTATTTAGTAATAAGTTAACAAAATCCCAAATGCCCAGAATGCACATTAATAATCTGGCCATCCCATTTGTGGATAAATGTAAGAATCTAGGCGTAATTCTTTACACATCCCTTAGGTTTAGACCTCACGTTACAATGTGCATTCAGAGAGCATTTTTGAACTTGAGATTATTGTTTCCCCATAAATTCTATTTGAGTACTTCAATTAAGTTAATGTTATGCAACTCTCTGGTGTTATCACATTTTGCTCACTGTTCCCCGGTTTACTCATCCTGTATTACCCATGATACAACGCATAGTATTCAACGTGTTCAGAATTCTTGTCTCCGCTTTGTATACGGAATCTCTAAATATGACCACATTACTCATAAGTTAAAGGACGCTAATTGGCTATCAATGACGAGTAGACGGCATCTCCAAAATGCTGTTTTATTTCATAAAATCATTTCCGATAAGCGGCCACCATACTTATACAATAAGATCAGATTTAGGACTGACATTCACAATTTAAATCTTAGGCATAGAGGGCTACTAACTATACCTCAACATAAAACAGCACTATTTGAGCGGTCATTTAGCTACACCATTGCTGTGATGTACAATGCATTGCCGTCGCCTCTTAAGAGTTTACCAACTCGTCAGTTCAAAAAACAATTGTTTAACTTTTATTTCACTCTTTAATTTGATTTCGTGTTACTGTTGATTATTCCTGTTCGTATTGTCTTTTATCTTTCAATCTGTTCATTCATCATTTCACTATACTTTAGTAAGTAGTTATTCTAAAATAATTTTGTTTTCTTTCGCTGTTTTGCTCTGTACAAATATTCTCTGTTTTGTCATGGTGTAGATGGAAGAGCAGCGTTTTGCTGAATCTATGCCATGAGGTTCTAAAAAAAATTTTTTTTTTTGGAATAAATATGATTATTATTATTATTAGCTCATTTTTTTTATTTTCATGGAAATTTGCTAAAAATAATTACATGACACACCCTATACTTTTACATAAATTGACAACAAAATTTTAAAATTTAATTTTTCAACAGAACATGCATGGGTAACTAGATCTTGATGAATCAAATGCTATGATGGCGATACATTCAAATGAATTCCTTTTTTTGTCCACTATCTCATTCCGTCCAATGGGCTTCTACATCTAGCGAACTATGGAAATTCTGGTAACAGATTTACGATAAAATTGACTCGTGTAATTTTATCCAACCACCCTCAGTCTTAAGAACATAAGACTAAGCCCTTAAATTAAAAAAATTATACATGTAATTGAAGCTGAAGAATTGAAGGGTTTCGACTAAAATATTTTCAGTTTTATGCGCCCCCTGACGATTTTGTCGAACTAGTCAATAGTACTCATTGCATAAACTTAATTTTTCTTTAAAAGGAAACCCCTTTTGCTTTTCACCAATAGATTGTTCAATGGAAAATCCCAATATTTAAACGAATGGTTTTTGTACTATACGAAACCAAAATCTTACCATTAATTTAGAATATTATAAAACTCTCTGTTCGATTGTAAAACATAAAATCCTGTTTTTTACTGTTCCCGTTCCCGTTGGAATTTCGGAAAATATTCTACTACGTCAGAAACCTTCGCGGGCATACGTAATTGATTCCTTTGACCGTCTATTTTTTTGCCCCTCGCCCGAAGTCTACGGTTTGGATTCTTCTAGAGCTTTGGCGCCATCTATGTATTAGTTATATTGCGATTTAAAATGACGGAAAAGGGAAAAATTGTTGCTTACGTCTTTCCGTACACTTTTTTGGAAATTATCTTTTATAAAAACAGATGCAACGTTGGTTAAATTACAGAACTAGGATGTTTTTTTGCGCTGATTACAATGGTAAAAACAAAAAAAAAACAATTGACAGTCGCAGTCCCAAAATATTGCAAAAAAGCACATTTTTCTAATGGAACACCCTG